TCACACCTGATTGCTTTTCTGAGACAAGGTTTTTGCTATTTTTTTTATGACTGTTAGCTGTGCGGAGCAGATAGCAATGAAGAGTGAGCTGGCTTCTGTAGATTAGCTTGGCTATTAACATTCACTGAGAGCAGAAGCTCTTGTGCTTATATACAAGCCAAAAGGGACCTCACTTAACTTTCAGATCCCAACTTGTTTTCTGGACAGTTAAAAACACCTCCTATAAACTGAGCAAACTTAATAGTGTCATTGAGAAGCTTGACGGTCCCAGGTACTGTCACATCAGAGAATCCTGAATCAGAGCGACCTCTTCTGTTAGGTCATCTAAGCCATACCCTTCACCACTGTCAGTGCAGGCTCTGATTTCGTTGCTTCTCTGTGGTGCCTGTGTGTTAACAGCTTTTATTTCTTTTTCACTACACAGAAATGTTTTGTGACTATTCATATATGTTTTAAAGTTTCTCTGTGAGCTCTTCGGTACAGGCACAGTCTTTTCTACGTGTTTGTACGGTATCTAGCATCTTGATGGCCTCTGAGTGCTACACAACAAATAATTGATCTGTATGACATGAATACTTGGCTGCAGGGAAAAACAGATGGAAAAAGCACAATTTCCTGAGGACCTTTTTTGATCTTTCAACCCTTCATTCTGCTTGAGATCCAGAGCAGTGGGTATAGAAGCTAGCTACACGGACTGAACATAGCTGGATTGGTGGGTTTGGCACCCTCTGGTGGCATAAGAATACAAAAACCAAAGTTCTTGTTAATAGTTCTTATGGAGGGAACATCCCTGTGTGAGTGGGACATTCCCACTGGAAGAAAAACCCCTATCACTTGGAGATCCTCTAGTGTAGCGTGCTGGGGGCTGAAACATGTCTTAAAGTTTGGATAGATGCTGGTTATCTGAGGTCATATACGCTATATCCAAAGGCTGTGGAGGTAAGTGCAAAGACTCTCATTGACCTCTGTGGGCTTTAGATCAGGCCTGTGGAAGCTATTCCCTGCTCTCCCCCCCCCCCCCCCCCCCGACTGTGACTTTCTGGGGCTTTGAAATGGTGTATTTCTTCCATGACACAGAGCCGTGCTCTGGATTGCTCATGTGGAGAAGGCTTCCCTATTCCATCTCAGGTGTGCCTTGCAAAGGAGAATAATTTTTAATCCTATCTCTGTAATCCTGTCACAGGAGGGGAAGGAGGAGAAAAGATGACAAGAGCCCACGGCTGCCTAAAAGAAGGTGAGTGTGACTGACTTTTCTCCACCTTCCTTACTATACATTTTAGTCCTTTCCATTTCTTGTGTGGAGAACCCCCTCAGAACCAGCTATTTTCATACATGTTTTTATTGGGCATAGTTTAGAAATAATTGTAGCTCTCTCTAAAACCACCATGATGGATTCTTGCAGTCAGGTCATTTTGAGTTGGTCGGTAGCATGGCAGAAGCCAATGATAAGGCTACAGGTGCTCTGTCACTGTCATCTCTTGGGTGATGAGCACGTGGCTAAAACCCATGAGCAGTCCTAGGGGTGGAGAGCTACAGGGGAGAGCACAAGCTGAAATGTGCTGACTCACAAGATGGTTGATCCGGAGACCATGTCACTTCCACATTTTTGGTGAGCTGCAATGGCTTTCTTGTTTAATCTAGTACTGCATCTACTTCACATTTTCCAACTAACCTCCCTGTGCATTACTCTCCCATGTACTTCTTAGGAAGAAGCCTCCAATACAGTATGTACGGTGTGAGATGGAAGGCTGCGGCACAGTCCTCGCCCACCCTCGCTATTTGCAGGTCAGTCAGGCTCTTCCACTCGTTTGGATCTGGGGTCAAGGAGCTGCCACTCTTTCATCTTTCACTGCAGTGTTCCTTTTTAATGTAGTTTGCTAAGGGAGGCACTGGTTTAGGAGGTGGTGCACTGCACTGGGACTCAGGAGTTTTGGGTTCTGTTCCTAGCTCTGGCAGAGGCCCATTGGGTGACCTTGGGCAAGTCACTTTCCCTCCCTGTGCCTCAGTTTCCCTGTCTGTAAAATGGGGGTAATATGCTGACCTCTTTTTGTAAAGTGCTTTGAGATCTACTGATGAAAAGCACTATAGAAGAGCTAGGTGTTATTCTGTATTCGAAAAAGAAAAGGAGTACTTGTGGCACCTTAGAGACTAACCAATTTATTTGAGCATGAGCTTTCGTGAGCTGTAGGTGCCACAAGTACTCCTTTTCTTTTTAGGTGTTATTACTAGCCAGTAACAAGTAATGAAGCTAAGCCCAGCCCAGTTGTAACTGTACCATATGTGCCTCTTTACCTGTATTAACACTGGAATGCGTTGCCTAGGGAGGTGGTAGAATCTCCTTCCTCAGAAGTTTTTAAGGTCAGGCTTGACAAAGCCCTGGCTGGGATGATTTAATTGGGGATTGGTCCTGCTTTGAGCAGGGGGTTGGACTAGATGACCTCCTGAGGTCCCTTCCAACCCTGATATTCTATGATTCTATAATTTCTGCTTTTCATCAGACCTCAGAGCCTGGTATAATTGCATCCTGTTAGCTCTCCTGCAATGCACAAGGAGGTAGATTGTAGCCCTTACGGTCTGTCACATTGCTTAACTTACCTTGTAACCTGGGATCTGATTTTCAGCAGTTCCTTTAGTCAGACAGGGAGAGGGTTTGTAACTTTTTCGTCGTCTTTCCTAGCATCACATCAAATACCAGCATCTGCTGAAGAAGAAATATGTGTGTCCCCATCCCTCCTGTGGACGGCTTTTCCGGCTCCAGAAGCAGCTGCTACGGCATGCCAAACACCACACAGGTACTGGGAAAGATGGGGAGACTTGAATCCAACCCATCATCCCATGGATGGATGGAGAGGGGAAAACACTCACCTCTCCTGAGGTGAGGAAGAGTCTAACCTAGGGAGCGCATGTGGCTGGTGGTTATTCCCTTCCTGCTGGGACTGCTGTCGAATTGCTTGTGCACACCCATTAGACAGTGCAAGTAGGTGGAAATAAGCCTCTGCGATTGTACTATAGCAGTATTTTATTGGCATATAGGTTGCCTTTTTGCAACAGTGTCATCTTGTTTTCTCCACATTTAAGATGCTCTTTTCAAGCTTCACCTTGTCAAGCATGTGGGATTGGTCAGGACTCCCATTCAAGCCCATCAGCTCTGCCTGAGATGCTTCCTCCTTCATTAGTCCTGGTGGGATCAGACAGTTCTTAACACTCAAATTGCTGCCTCGCTTTCAGGTAGCTTCACCCAAGAACCTTCAAAATTAAAAGTGGGGTCATAGGGCAACTTTCAGATGAGTGGACTTTCAACCCAAGCATGTGGTTCTGATCCAGATGCAAGTATTAAGATGAGATGTGTGTGCTGCTTTACAGATCAAAGGGATTATATCTGTGAATACTGTGCCCGGGCATTTAAGAGTTCCCACAACTTGGCTGTGCACCGGATGATCCACACAGGCGAGAAGCCTTTACAGTGAGTATAGTCCTGCATTGTCTTGCCTTTTGAAATATGCCTCTTCCTCCTTCAGCTGGCCACATTTCCCTGGCCACAGCTGACTCTGCCTCATGTGCCTGTCTGTGATTCTGTTTCATATCATAGAATCATATGCCTGCATTCTCTGTTGCACCTCCTTGTGTGTCCTGTTCTCATATTGACGTTTCTTTTTTTCTCTCCCACTCACCAGGTGTGAGATCTGCGGCTTCACCTGCCGGCAGAAGGCCTCTCTGAACTGGCACATGAAAAAGCATGATGCAGACTCTTTCTACCAGTTCTCCTGCAACATTTGTGGCAAGAAGTTTGAGAAGAAGGACAGCGTGGTGGCACATAAGGCCAAGAGCCACCCAGAGGTGCTTATTGCTGAAGCACTAGCCGCCAATGCAGGCGCCCTAATCACCAGCACCGACATCCTAGGCACTAGTCCAGAGTCCATTGCCCCACCCACCGATGGCCAGGGCCTTCCCCTCCTCCCTGACCCCCTGGGAAGCACTGCTCCTGGCGAGTGCCTACTGCTGAACCCCGACGGGATGCCAAAGGCGTACTGCAGTGGGGCTGAGCGCATGAGCCTGATGGCCGATGGCAAGCTCTTCGTTGGTGGCGGTAGCAGCGGGAGCACGGAAGGGCTGGTCATGAACACAGAGATTCTGGGAGCCACCACAGAGGTTCTGATTGAAGATTCTGACTCTACCGGACCTTAGCAGGCAGGGAGCACGTGGTTGTTGGGACAGCTCGGACTTTGTATTTAAAAGAAAAAATGGAGAAACTTATTAAAAAAAAAGAGAGAGAAGTTAAACAAATTTAAAATACTAGTAAATAAGAGAAGGGCCTGCTCCTCTCCAGTGTGGATCACAGCATCCCCCTCTTCCTGACCCCTTCTCTGTCCTCCTGTCCCTTTTCAGAAAGGGATGCCACAGTTACTGGAGCGAGACAGAGCAAAGGAATTCTCCGAGTGAAGGGAAGCAGCCAGAGGCCCTCACTCACCCCAAACCCAGGCGCCTTCCCTGCTCCTCAACAAATCCCTGTTTGCAAACTTGAAGGAGTTTGGGCTGTGGACCAGCTTCTCGTTCCTAGGACTCCCTCTGCCCAACTTCTATGCATTGCTGCATTCTGATCCTTGCAGTCTTGTCTTCTTCCTCCTGGGTCTGGGAGTTTGGCTTGGCACTTTAGGGCCCCTCAGCAGGGTGAGCTGTAAAACAGCACCTGTCCCCGCCTCTCACACCCTTCCTCTCTGTCACTGATGGGAAGTAGAGGGCACGCCCTGGCGCTCAGATGGTGCTCGCTTGCTGAAATGCTGGGGCTTGGCTCTGTACGAGAGCCCTGTGTTGGAGAGGCAGTGAGAAGTCTCCAATTGGTGACAGTCATTTGCACTTTGAACATGTTTCGTTTTTGTGTGGTGGTAACGAAAGTCCTTATTTATTGATCAGAGGGTCTGGTATTTTTAATTACATTTGGGGTGGATTGGGCTATTCCAGAGGGGGCTCCTTTACATCAGTGGAACTCATAGGGGTAAGCCATGCTGGAGCAGCAGCTGTAGGGCTGATCCCCACCACAAAGATAATCAGGGTGAAGAAAGCACTAGGGAAGCCGAGTAGCTGTTTGTAAACAGGTCAGAGTGATAGACCCCATGGGAGGAACTCCATTTGTATTGTGGAGTTTTGGAGCAGTTGTTTGCTTTGGGGTGGGGTAGGCGGTGAGGAATGACTAGCTTAGTTTAGGGCTCTGAACTGCAGAAACAACTTATATAGTGGTGTGTCTCCCTCCCCAGTTTATTCCAAGCTCCTTGCATTAACCCTTTTTTCTCACTGATTCATCCTCACTCCCTGCCGTTGGAAGAATTAGCGCTGTTAGCCAAGGAACTTGTTCCAGTCTTTTGACAGATGTGTAACTAAGTGGTGCAGGATATCACATTCCCCATCCAATTCTGCCTCTCCTTTCCTGAAAGAGATACAGCTATAGGGGGAAGAAACTGGGCTTAGTTATCTTGCACTTGATTTGAATAGAGGCAGACTGACTGACATCTGGTTGCGGGAATGGCAACTTGTCTCCCTGCATGGACACCCCTGGGGACAGAGCATGAGGTGTGTTCCCTCTACACATGCTCCTTACAAGGCCAGCTTTCGCAAATGTTCTTTGTTTCTATGAGACATGGTGGTGTGGTTTTGCCCAAGAGCGAGAGATGGGCATGCATAGCCTTGTAATTAAGACAGCTGTTGTCCCTCAGAAAGGTTTAGGACATAATGTATCTTAAGTTTTGAGCGCAGATCTTTGCTCTGTCCGTTGTCAAACTTTGTGCAGTGACCCAATGACCTTACAGTTGTTTGCTTTTCGGAAAAAGCAAGGAATCTGTTTGGTCATATCAATGTGGTTTGGAAGGAAGTTACAATACCCTGTTTAAACACCGAGCCAGTAAAACTTGTTTGTTGTAGAGCTGGTTGGAAAATGGAGTTTTTCTGCAGAAAATTTTGACGAACTAGAAGAATTTCATTTGCATTGGAGATTTACCACAGAACGTTTTGATTTTGTCTGAAAACTGGAAACAGGCTGACCGCTGAAATCTTTTGGAAAAATCACAGCAAACTGTCTTGTTTCTGGTCAGGTCGACCGACATATGTCAAACATATTGTGAAACAATTCACTTCAGTTTGGGTCAGTTCAACATTAAACTGTTTACCTGAGCTGCTGCAGGTCACCCTATGGGCTTGGTTCCCTGGTCAGACTAGTAATCTCCCTTGATGCACCATGTTCTTCCCTCTTTCTGATTGATTGGTTGTGTGTCATCTAGTGACATGATTGTGGTGCATCATGGGAGATGTAGTCCAGCTGAGAACATAAGTAGTTAAGAATGGAATGAGGGCTTAAGGCATCAGACCTACAATTTGCAGCAGCCCAGGAAGATGTGCTTTAATGTTGAAATGAGACCAAACCAACTTTCATTTGGAATGTTGAAATGTCTCATTTCAGTTATAAATATCAAAACAATTTTAACATTTCCAAATTGATGATTTTGGATTTTGAGCAGGAAGCTGAAATTTTCTGCAGAAAATTGAACTAAATAATTTGCTCAAAACCAGTTTTGATGGAGAGCTTTCAACTAGCCCTAGATATGTGGTTTTGCTGGCCAGCACGGCTGTGGCCAATTCCTGACACCTGTGTTCAAAACTCTTCTAGTCTAGGTCCTGACTTTGCATGATTAAAAGCTGTTGTGGTGCAGGTTAGCTTTGGCTAGCTGGTCAGCCAGCCAGACCCTGCTACAGACCAGTTCTGCGGGAACTCTGTGGAAACCCTCCATCACTTGGTTTGAAGTCTGGTGTAGACCAGGCCTTCCAGGGAACACTAAAAGGAGAACTTAGCCTTATCAATTTCCTTTTATTTCTAAGGATGGCACTAAAATGCTGTGTTTGGGTGGAAATCTCACTCTGGGGTGGTGCAATAGCTAGACAGCGTGCTGTGGAGACTGCCCCATGACTTACCTACAGAATGATGCAGCCCAGTCACCTAGCATGGGAAATAAGAATGTGGGCTGCTCAACTTCTCCAGTAGAGGGAAAGTTTCTCACATTTCCAGCAGGCAGCAATGAGTGGGTAATTCACCTCTGAAGTCCTTCGTATCCCTGTCACTTCCTTGCTGTCATCCCACACACTCTCCTGGTTTTAGCCTTTCTCCCTCCCTCCCTCCCCCTTTGGTCTCATCCAATTGTTTCTGTCCTTAAACACAGCCTTCTAACCTCCAGGGCAGGAGAGACCTGTGTAACTTCCAGCCCCGGGTTTAAAAAATGAAAACTGACACTCAATGCCTTCCTGCTGCTTCTCCCCCTCCATGTCTCTCCCACCACTCGCATGCAGTTTGCTTCAATAAATTATTGTAGTAGTTTGCAATAAACATTTTTGTATTTTTTCCCCATGTATTTATTTTTTCTCCGGCGGTGGGAGCACGTTGGGGAGCTGGGCTTAGGGTGCTTCTTTCCCCTTTCACGTAAACTGGTTTGTGGTGACTGACTTAATATCACTCCCCACCCCTTCCTTTTAGTATTCAGTGTGGGCGCTCATGTAAAGCTGCACTCTCCGCAATTGGAGTTGCCTCTTCCGCGCAAGCTTAACCTTGATAGCGGGACACGGAATTGCGCAGAGGGGCTTTTGCTTTGTGCATGGGGCGTCAGCGGCCTGCTGTCACTCTGCTGCCACTCCATCTGGCATTGATGCTTCCTGAAAGCTGGCTGGGCATTCTTCAGCTCCTGGGACAGGAGGGGAGGCAGGGGACACAACCTTGATTTGCATGAAACCTGCCAATGGGGAGGGGGGTTAAACTTGATACTGCTTAGCAGCACTACCTGCAGTAGCCACCAGGTGGCAACACAGCTGTTGCATTGGCACACCCCTCTAGTGGGGGGGAGGGGGAAGCTGGGGAGAGGAGATGCATAAGCTGACAAACCTTTGATTGCTATAAGTCTTGTCCCACAGCAATCTCCACAGGGAGAGGGGGAGCCCAGGTAGCTACCTGAACCCAACTTGGGGAAAGGGTAATGTAAAATGTAATAATAAAGGAATACTCTGCTTTTCAACTCGTTTTCTCTTAATCTGGGTAAGACATAACCAAAATAAATGTATAAAGGAAAACACAATAAAAGTTTTGTCTTGGTGCATGCAGCTTGTCTGCAGTGGTTGTAGTGGATTATCCTGGGATCACAGGGGTAGGGCATGGTTATGTATAAGCAGTGTGGGAGCCATTAGTTTTCAGTTACATTTGAGCAGGGTAAATACCTGATTCAATTCCCAGAGGACTGCAGATAAGCAGGGATGTGGGTGGTAAGGATGGATGACACTAGTACCATGCCTGCTGGATGGGGCTTTCTCCCTTTGCATCATGGTCAAAAGTCTGGAAATCGGGTTGAGCTGTCTGTTTGGTGACATGAGTGTGCAGGGGCTGTCTTCTGCCTGGAAGGACACAGTCACCACTAAAAGCATTGGGGCCCTTTGAATCTCAGGAGAGAGACAAGCTTTCCAAGTGCATATCTGGGTGCAAATAAACTCCTGCAGGTGTGCAGAAACAGAGCTGCACATGCTGTCCTGGATTTGCGAGCCCTCAGCTGGGGGCTCTGGGCCTGAGCTCCCACAATGTGAGTGGTGCTCTCCAGTCTCAGCTCAAGGAGAGGGAAGCAGCCCATGGTGATAGAAAACATACCTTGCCTCTGCAATGACGGGCTCAGGAGAAGAACCTAGTGGGGAGCACTGGCCAAGATTGTAAAACCAGCCTAAAAGGGATGGCTTGGTTTTTCAAACTGCTGAGCAGCCACTAGCTCCTGTGGACTGCCATGGGAAGTTATAAGGTGCTCAGCATTTTGGAAAATCAAGTCACTTATTTAGATACCTATATTTGCAAATCTTGGTCCCTGTGTAATGGTTGTGGTCTCTGGCTGTTGATCAGACCACCTTTGCTGAACAAGAAAATTCAAGTGTGGATGCAGCATGCACGCTTATTTTCTCTTGTATTCATTTATCTGGCTGTGATTTGTCGTTGCTTAACATTAGCTAGTGAAATGACTACAGGTCTGGGAAGAGGGTTATGGGCACTAGACCTGGCTCAGCTAGAAAAGAGTGAGAACTTCCCAGACAGAACCAGGAGGATGCAGGAAATAACAGATCGTATCAGGCTTTGTCTCACATCTCAGTGGGGGATTATCAGGAATCCCATTTGGCAACTGTATACAACAGGGGTAGTCAATAGGACCGTGGGCCAACTCCCAATTGCCAGATGCTTTTGAACAGACTCCAGAATCTTTTTATTTACTTTTTTTATTCTTTTCTCTGGAGTTTGGACCTTGACTTTACCTTGACCAAGAAATTTGGACCTTGACAAAAAATAGACTACCCCTCATACAAGTTGTGAGGGACGGATGTAGTTGCAGATGAGTGGACTAGAGCTGTAGGGAGACGGGCTGTGGGGGAGGAAGGGTGGAGTGAGTGGGAGACTGATTCTGGGCCAGACAACTTGAAGGTGCGTGGAGGAGGGACATGGTAAGAGATGAAAAATCTGCCTTTGTCCAATGCAGATGTGTTCAGTCTCTCCCCAGGCCCCAGAGACAGAAGAGGGGGGGAGAGAGGCGTGTGAGTGACTAATGCTCTCTAGAGCTGGAATGTGTGAGCTGAGCAAGGGATTTTTCTGGCTTGGCCGTGGCACAAACAGCCCTGTGTGAGCTCTGTGGCTTAGCTGCCATCTGCATCTGGGACAGCCGGCTTTGGCCGAGCAACCCCCTGTGACCCTCCAACACCACAACCTCTGCAGCCACGCCATCCTCCTGGCTGGGAAGATCCGCTCCAACGTGGCCAGCCTCTTGGAGTCCTACGTGAGTCTCTTCCTCTTAGGCCGATCCGTCAGCTGCTCAAACTGCGACATCTCGCCTGGCAGCTGAGCACGGTGGCACCTTGCTCCAACACGGTCTTTAAAAGCAAAGGGAGTGGCTCTAGTTTACACCCAACCCCCAGACAGGGAGGTCATCTTCCCATACTGGATACGGATGCATGTTGGGTACAGGTTTATAATGAGCTGGGGCGCGGGGTATTCAGTCAATCAGCTCAGCCAGTGGATGGGATTTGCCAGGTGAGCAAAAGAATCCTTGTGCAGCCTCATAGAGGTAGGGTGTAGACTGAATTCCTCCTGTGCTTTTCCCCTCTCCCTGTTGGTAGGGAGATGAGTAATCAATGTCTCTTCCACCTGTTGCAGAGAATCCAGGCTCTTCTCCTTTGTCCTACTGCACCTCTAGTGCAGGTTCTGTTTTTTTATCACCCCTGAAGCAGAAACACAGCCACCTCTAAGGTGGAATGTGACTGATGCTTAAAAGCAAGCATCACGCGCACCCTTCTGGGGACTGAACTAGCGAGATAAAGATTGCTACGGCCTCATCACCACCCTCTGGATCAGGGAGAGAGGACACGTCACATGTTTCCCTTGCGCAGAAGTTGAAGCGGTCTCCAATTGACCCCTCAGTGGGAGGGAATGTACATCTGTGGGCGATGTGGAAATTCAGGTAGGGTATGGGTTAAAGTTCCTGCCCTTCACCCCAAAATGCAGTGGGAGGTTTGGTGGGGGGGAGGCGAAGGACCTTGAGTTTTTCTCAACAGATGGTAGAGCTTGGGGGGGGGGGAAGGTGGATGCTAATATTCAAGGTGCCTCAGGCATGGCACCTCCTTGTGGGCGCCGCTAGAGAAAGAAACAGTGCTGATGGTTCATGGAATCTGCGTCAGTCCTGAATCCGCTTTCCACCAGCACATTGGTGATCTGGGCTGGTACTATCACAGGAGCACGGGGTGCCAAGCTCTGGAAAAGCCCTGGTGTAAATTTCCCTAATCCTCACACCTTCCTTGAATGCTCCTGACTTTTCATCAGAGAGCTTTCCAGCAGGGATTTTCTAGCCAGTTCTAGAGGGCAACTCCTGCAGAGCTCCGGCAATTCTGCTTTTCCATTGGTTTGGTGCTTGCTTAGGAGAGGAGTGACCCCCAAATTCATAGATTACACTGGAAGGGACCATTGTGATCATTTAGTCGGACTCCTGCAAAACACAGGCCAGAGGACTGCCCCGAAATCATTCCTGGAGCAGAGCTTTGAGAAAAATATCCCGTCTTGATTTAAAAACTGTCGGTGATGGAGAATCCACCACAACCCTTGGTAAATTGTTCCAGTGGTTAATTACTCTAATCAGTAAAAATGTACTCCTTATTTCCAGCCTGAATTTGTCTAGCTTCAACTTGCAGCCGTTGTTAGACCTTTCTCTGCTAGATTTAAGAGCCCATTATTTAGTATTTGTTCTCCATGTGGGTACTTAGACTGTGATCAAGTCACCCCTTAATCTTCTTTTTGTTAAGCTAAATAGATCTTGCTCCTGGAGTCTTACTCCTTGCTCACTGTAAGGCAGGTTTTCCAGTCCCTTAATCATTCTCTTGGCTCCTCTTTAATCCCTCTCCAATTTATCAACATCCTTCTTGAATTGTGGGCTCTGGAACCAGACATGGTATTCCAGCAATGATTGTACCAGTGTCAAATACAGAAGTAAAATAACCCCTCTCCTCGAGAGTCCATTTGTACATCCCAGGCTTGCATTACCTCTTGTGGACACAGCGTCGCCCTGGGAGCTTCTATTCAGTTGATTATCCAGCACCACTCCACAAATTTTTTTCGGAGGCCTCTATCCTGTATGTATGGCCAGTACTGCCATGGGCAGCACCTAGGGGCTGGCTACTGTTTTCTCTGACAATAGGCCTTGAAACAGAGACTTCCAGAGCTAAACCCGTGACCTGCTACATCTTCAGCTAAAGAACCAGCCTGGGTAGGTGGAGACTGTAGCAGACCCATCTCCTCTGTGAATCAGAGACAGAGGGACACACAACACTGGCCAGTGGCTACCTCCTAGCTGTCCCATCTAAGGGCTGACTAAAGCAAACCCAGAACAGCAGAAGCTAGGCCAAGGGCAGGCTATTCTGTCCCTTCTGCTGGGTTTACTAGCAACAATTTTGCAAACTCTTGTCTCCTCCTTGCTCAGTTCTCCATTATTCAGACAATGTGGAGCAGCAAAGGCCCAGGGCAATGATGGTAGCAAGCTGGTTCATAATAAAGATTCCTCTTCGTTCACTGGCCCTACTGTGATCTGCCTTGGTGTACGAGTGATTGGTGACTGTGCCATTGCCCAGGGTACAATTTGGACTGCTAAACAATTGTTTCCCCTCAATACTCCAGCCTGGGGTGCCTTTTACACTGTTTTGATGTGAGAGCCACCACTCCTGGTCTGTTCACACACAGCCTTTAGCATACAAAATCACCCCCAGCTGTATTACATGATTGCTCTGGCCAGCCACTCATTAATTACATACAGGGTAACACCAGCCAATTCCTAGTGGCAGACCTTTCACCAGAAATGTACATCTTGTACAGCCCAACACCCACTGGATGATACAAGCTCATAGAAAGGTTGTAATTTCATCAAAGGACAATGATATGCACAGACCCTGCTATCTCAAGTAGATGTTCCCAAACACTTCAATCCAAACAACAATGGTTTAGATAAAACAAGTTTATTAACTAAAGAAAGAGAGAGATTTTCAGTGATTACAAGTAATGAGGCATAGAATTCAGAATTGGTTACAAAGAAAATAAAAACGTAACACCAGCTAATACCTAACAAATGGAGTGAACTTAAAAACAAAAGATTTTTCTCAGTATATGCTTACAGCAGTCTGGTTTGGCTGAAAAGCCTCCCAGCCAGGACCCTTCCCCCAGTTCAAAGATGTTTCCTTTGTCTTTCAAGCTTTGTAGCTGTCCTGAGTAGAGATGTGGGGGAGAGAGGTGATTTGTGTTGTGTGTCCTCTCCATTCTTATACCCGTCTCCCCTCTTGGAGGATTACCTCTAACTGGGGTTCAGGCAACAGGCAGTCTGTTTACATGGAAGCTCCCAGTTGTCCTATTGTCAATATGTAAAGTATGCTTACACCCTTCTTCCAGCCACAGAATGGCCATTTAACTAGGTGACTGTCCAATTGATTATGCTGACACGTGGCCGGGGTGCCAGTGTGTCTTTGTCTCTGTAGAACTGGTTTGGGCCTGCATTTCTAACTCTGGAACATATCACAGCAATGTTACACAGTAGAATCTTATAACTTTACATACAATGTTGCCACACATTTTACCTGGACAATAATGTTCAGCAGATTGATTTTTAAATACCATCTCACAAGGCAGACTTTGTACAAAATTTATCATGGTCTTGTGAAAAGGGTGAACTTGGGGTACAGTCTGTCTCAGTGACACTGGGATTTCTCTTCTCCCTGGCATGGATTCTGGTTATGAGGAAAGGAGTGAGTGGTTGGCGTGGTGAGGACAAGTGAGTGGGTTTGGCTGCGGGGGCTGGTGAGGTGTAGTGGGTGGTTCTGGGGTGATGGTGTGGGGAAAAGGGGAGCTGATGAGGTGGAGAAGGGAGGGGAGTGGGTGGGGCTAATAGGGGAGAGTGGAGGGCTGATCTTTCTGTTACTGAACCTCCCCCCTCAGGTGGAGAGGCAGGGGCTAGACAGGACCATCAGCCTGGACTCGGTGGAGGGTGTGCCAGGTCCGGCCATGGAGCAAGGGGGCGAGCTGACGGTGGCTGTGCGGTTGGGCGCCAACCTGCAGGCCTACCGGGCACTCCAGACATTGCTGGGTGAGGTCCTGGAAGAGCAGGGGTTTCACCTGACCCCGCTGGACATGGACTTCCACGCCTCCATCCAGTCCATCCTGCTGCAGGTGGCGGCCCTGGCCTACCAGCTGGAGGAGCTGCTGGCGCTGCTGAGTCACGGCAGGCCAGCCTGGGAGGCAGCCGGCCCCAGGCCATCGCAGCTTGTTTGAGATGAAGCTGTGGGGGCTGAAGGTGCTGCAGGAGCTGGCTCACTGGACTGTGCGGTCCGTGCGAGACCTGCGCCAGGTTGCCAAGCACAGCCAGGGCTCTGGCACTGCCCATGGGAACCAGTCCCAGAAGGAATGAGGCTGTCTGCCTCCCTGCCACTGGGGTAGATGGTGCCTCCCCATCCCCCCTCCCTTCAGCAAGCCAAGAGCTGGTTTGGCAGGGGGGGAGGGGTGCTCTGCCACCCAAGGGCCAAGTCTAGACTCTGGCATCGCGCTCAGCCTCCTCGACAGCGTGGCCAGCTGGGCCATAGGCGGAACCTATTCCCAAACCATCCCTGCTAGCTCTGCAAGCCAGCTGGCTCTTCGTGGGGGGGGCAGGCACCAAGTGGGCACTGGCCAGTGCCAAAGGGCTAATGGGCTGCTGTGGCAAGAGGCAGGATGGCCAGGTGGGGGTGGGGGAGCTCAAATCCCTGATGTGCCTGCTCTGTCCATTCCCCCCTCCTCTTCAGATGGGAAGGTGGGATGGCTCTGGCTCTGGGGTGGCTCAGCACAGGGTGGGGAAGGATATGTGTGTGGAGAGAGGGGGACAGGAGGCGTCTCCTGACTCCCACTTCTCAGCTTAGAAGCCGATGGCCCCATTTGCTCACTGTGGGGAGGGAGCTGTGAAGTGGCTGGAGCCTGGAGCTCCTCAGGGGTGGGGGCAGGGGCTGCCCTGCTGGGAAGAGGAGGCAGGGCTGCTGCAGGGATCCCCCATATGTCCCAGCTGGGATCCCCCTCTTCCCTCTCCCACTGAGCTGCCTCCCTCTCAGGGATTTCCCTACACCCCCCACAGGGGTGTTTACCCCCCCCACCCCAATTTCCCCAACACCCCCCACAGTTTTGTGAACTAGTTACATGCAGTGATTGTTTGGAAATTTGAATTAAAATTGAAACATTAATACACACTTTAAAAGCATAGAACGTGTATCATAAAATATGTGTATCTGAAAAAGTATAATAGATTTGAAAAGTATGAACATAGACTAGCTTCTTTATACAGCTCTTGTTTTTTATGACCATGTCAGAGCATTCATTTTAGTGATGTTGGCCAACCTAATAATTTCAAATTATGATTTATAAGCAAAGTCTAAATGAGTTCTCCCTGACAGCTAGTGATGCGTTGGGGGCTGGGGGGAAAGGCTTCAGGACCAGATTGCATTTAGGGTTCTGGGGCAAAAATTGGGGATTTGTCCTGCTTTGAGCAGGGGGTTGGACTAGATGATCTCCTGAGGTCCCTTCCAACCCTGATATTCTATGATTCTATGAAGGAATGGAAGTACCGGAGAAGCCACCAAAGATGAATGCATTGCATTCAAGAAGTTCAATAAGAGTTGTGCAAAATTATAACAAGAAACCAAGAAGGATGTAGATGTCGTGCTTCATGGAAGGCTTGAGTAGCCAGCTTTAATTTGTGTGATGATTTTAAAATCTAATAAAATGGTCATGAAACATTTTTCAGTTTTTACTATGGTGCCATACAGCCCCCCTTCACCCTCACGGTCTCACCCCTCATCAGCTCTGACCCCCCCACCCTATTTCAATTCCTGGGGGAAAACACAGCTTGCCCCGCAGCTGATCCCAGCCATGGGCTCAGGCTGAGCCCTGGCACTGGGGAGGCAGGCATGAGAGGGGGACACAGCTCAGAGCAGATCGGATGTAGGCGGGAGTGGAGTGAAATCTCTACTTGGGGGGGGGGGGGGCGGGAAGCAATGTCTTCCAGGGCAGTGAAAGGGAAATGGGGGGCTTCTCTGAGACAGAGGGAGAAGGGTAGAAGGTTGGGGAGGAACCTGGAGCTGTTGCAGGGCGTTCTACCCACCTCCCACATGGTTTGAGGCCAGCTGAGGCCATCACCGAGTACCCACCTAGCACCACGTGTTCCCTGCCCTGAGATTACAGTTGCTCTATTTGATGGTCTTGCTACCGGGGGCTGAGCTCTTAAGGGAAGAAGGCCAGACAAGCTTCTTCATCTCACTGCCCCCCCGACCATGGAAGTTGGGGTCTCCTCTCCCGCCCCTCCCAGCCTTGGCTGCATTTAACCAGTGTATTGGCACTTGGAGAGCTACCAGGAAGTAATGGCTCCTGCTTAACGCGGAGACGGGGGCCCAAGACTGGTGGCGCTCCTGAGCTGGGGGCCACGTGCAGCTGCAGCAGATACTCCATGAAACCCACTAGGGCCTGTGCTGTTGCTGTTGGTTTGACATGATGCCCAGATGCTATGGTGATGGACAGCAGGATAAAACCCAGAGGTGGATGCTTCAAGGATGTGAAAGTCAAGTGAGCAGCTGACCCATTCTGCCTGACGTAGGGCAGGTGGTTGAAGATGCTATAGGAGCTGGCTCGCTGAACCGTGAGAACTGTCTGGCTAGGACCTTAAGCCCTTTCCAGACTCTGATCCCCATTTTCCAGGTGAGAAAACTGAGGCATGGCATTGGGCAAGGTCACACAAGAAGCTTGCATCAGCCACAGGAGGGGAGCTGAGATCTGCCCACCTGTCCTGCCCCTTAACCATGTGACCCACAAAACTGGACTGATTGATCTGGCTGCTTTGGGGTCAGACACTCCCACGTGGGATCTGTGAACAGGGAGGAGCAACTGCCAGGAGAGCCCTGCTGTGTTTGTTTTGGGCAACCCTCAGGGTCCCAAAGTGGGTGTAGCCCTCAGTAAATTCCATTGAGGCTCCCAGGAAGACTGTTCTCAGCCTATACCCCTCCCCACCCCACCCCCACACACACCCTCCTGCATCTGCTCTGGAGACGGGGCAAGAGCAGCCTCCCAATGTGTAGAGAAGGCTTGAAAAGCATGTTCTGTTTCGTTTGCCCTGGTTTTCCTGACTGCCTCCTTGAACAGATGGTGAACAGTGGTAGGATCTGGCATGAAAGATCCAGATTAAGCATGAAAAGAAATGACTTTTATCCAGACTGTGGGTTGTTGTTTTAAGCATGCATTTAACTCAAGCGCTTTGCAAACAGGTGGGAGAGAAGAGCTCTGTTAAAAATAAATTCAACTGAGGGCTGAGAGCTGGAAATCCAGATCTGCGCCTTCCTTCCAGCTATCGTGCCCAACCAGATACACCACTTTGATCCTGATATTTGGAATGTAAAACACAAGCAGAAAAATAAACTTTGCATTGTTTCTTTATATGGAAAAACAGCCCTTTCAGGCCTTTAAATCTATGTAGCTAACAAAGGGTTTTCTCTAGTTTTCATCTCTTACAATGTGCTACCAATGTGTTTTTCTACAAAGAAGTAAAAGAGACCATACCACCTTGCCACACATTCACTCGCCCACTCTCCTCCTCCTCCTCTCACCTTTAACCACTATCCTTCTACCATGGCTGGGTTTGTACTATGTGGTTGAACTGTTCTATGAAATATTTTGACACATGTGAGATGGTCTAGATCTGACTGTTTTTTGGCTTTTTGCTTTCAAAAAATTAGAAGGAATAATTTAATCTGTGACTGGCGATATTTTAATAATGACCCATGAAACTTGGCGCTCTGTAATTTTACAATCTCACTTCACGATCTCTGCTTCTCGTAGAGGGGATCTTGGAGTGATTTGTTTTGGCCTGTAGAATGTTTTCTTATATTTTCCTGAATGTAACAAACAGATGCAGAAAGAAATTGAACCTAAATGGCATATCATGATTTTGCTTTTTCACTCCCCAAAACATTGCTTTACCAATTTTTGTTAGAGACAGAGTACTTTTATTTTTTGGGGGGGGTTTGTTTAGTTTTTGTGGACACATACAATATTTTAGACTTAGCAGGAGTTGAAATGTTTAGTGTAGTTTGGGGAGATCATTGCTGTCAGCTGTTTCATACTGGAGAAATAAGACATGGAATGTACCAAACAAAACTTTTGGTGGCTTGGGGAAAGGAAGGTGGGGAAAATACAGGTGGGCGGGGTCTTAATACCTCCCCTGGACCGCAGTGCTGGGCCTGCCTTAGCCCACCATGTCCCCTGTCTACACATGGGAATGCAGAATAGTCAGCCTAGAACAGTGGTTCCTAAAATTTTCTACCCTGCGCCATATTCACAGGGATATACTCCCCCAGGATCACTGTCCTGGTGGGTGCTGGGGAAAAGATGAATATTTCTGCAGCGCAACCTCTCAAAACACTTTACAAATACAAGGAGTGAATCTGCCTCACAGCCCTGCCCAAGTATCACCCCATGGTTAATGGGGAAAACTGAGACACAAAGGTTAGTGGTCAAGGGGCTGCTGAGCAACTCAGAGCTGGGACCAGAAGGAAACTCCTGCTTCCCAGCTCTCAGCACTAACCACTAGCCTGTGCAGCCTCCTGGAAAGGGTTTGGCAGGGGGCCAGGACCTGTGCTGCCTGCTTGTGGTTGGGGCCTCTGTCAGACCCTCCCTTAGCACAGGGGGCAGTAATGTAAAGGGATACATCCATATGTGTGCAGCATTTATTTGGTTAGCAAAAAACCAACCATGCATGACCCAAGGACGGGTTTGAGAGAGAGAGAGAGACAGACACACACACTCTACTCTGTGGGGGAAGAGGTATAAGGGCGGGTGTATGGCAATGTAATTGGCTTTGAGCTGTCCCCCCCACCCCCAAATTACACCACAGCATCCATTTGTCCCTGCTGCCCACACACAAGAAAAAACAACCAAACATAAAAGGAAGAGAGAGAACTATAATGAAAGCCCTGAAACTGCTTGGTGGGGTGAGCCTGGAACATTAACCATTAGACTGCTGCAGTTTGGCCTCCTCAGGCTTGCTAACTTGCTCCCCACCCCCATCCCACCAGGGCCCATGTCTTCCAACATCCCCTGCTGCAAACTCCCCCCTTCCCGTTTCCCTACCAAGCCCCCATAGCTGGTTGCCACCTACCTCAAGCTGATGGCTCTTCTGTTACTGGCCGCTCATATCCCCCCACCTCCCTGCCTCGCCATTACCTCCTCCGGTTATCAGCAAGCAACTGAAAATCCTTCTGTTCCCCACCACCTCCCCCTCCCCCACAAAATGCAACCTCCATCACAGCCCCTAACCCCCTCCTCTCCCCAGCACTGTAAACTGCTGACAAGTAACCCTGATCCCCCATCCCGACCATCCCACAATTTCCCCCAGCTGCCAAATCCGCCCAGTTTTCCTCCATCTGGAACCTCAGCATTGCTGTAAGTGTCTGCAGGCTCAGCCCTGCCCTACAGCAGAGGCTTGTGGGCAGCTGTTGTGCAGAATGGCAGCCCCAAGAGAGATGGTGAAGTTCTGAGCTGGGGTGAAGGTCTCTGGCCAGGCTCAGAATCCCCTAGAGGCTGTTCTGGGCTGGTGGGGGCGGGCGGGATCCCCACATGGCCAACGCTCACTGGTTTCATTACGCTATTTAGTACATTTATCAAGGCCCAGCTCCTGGAGGCCCAAGAGTCCCTGAGATTCTCAGCTTTTGTTTTTTAATGACGTTTCCAGCCCTGAGGGTGGCAGGGAAGTGCTCAGAACCGTGACCCCACAACGCTGGCAACCCCCAGGAAGACAAAAGAAAAACAAATCCCTCAAAACATTATTTTAATCAATCTCATGATTTTTGAACCTGGGGGCTTGGCAATCCTGGGATCCATATGTGGCCCCTTCCCCTTTAAGAGAGAGATTTTCTCACTGGTAGACACCTACTTTCCTTTGTCCCTGTTGGTGGGTGGAACAGTGCCCCCCTTCCGCTAAACATAGGAACTTCCTTCCAGTTGATAGGGGGTTCCTAGGGCTGTTCTAGACAGATGGGGCTTCTCTTAAAGATGCCGCTACCGTCCCTGGGTGCATCAGAGAGCTGCCTGAACGCAGCCTGCAACACTAATGCATTCATGTGATTAAAAGCTACTGCTCCCCCAGCCTTGCCACGCCCCATACCCCTCACCCAGGAGGTGTGAGCCATTCACAACTCACCCCAGGGAGAGTCCTTGGCCCAGTTCCCAGGGTCTCAGGCTAAGCTAGTCCCAAGAGACATTGTGGTGGATCCGTAGGTCCCTTGCTCTTCTGCTAGATGGCTGGGGGGCTGTACCTCCTGGTACCCCCTGCTCTTGTACCTCCGGGTGCCATAGACAGCCCCCGCAATAGCCGCTGCCAGGACAAGCGTCACAGCCACTGAGATGCCAGCCACAGCGCCCCCTGTGGGCCCCGCGCTGGACTGAGCCTGGAAGAGCTGGGCCATCTCCCTTTCATCGGTGACATTGGCTGGCCGCCAGCGTCCACTGCCCTGCAGCTTCACCCAGGCCTGGCTGCCCTCTCCCAGAACCAGGATGGTCTCGGCCACACTGACATTGGGGGACGGCCGGCGGAGGAAGGGCGGGAGCTTGATGGGAGCCAGCTGCTGGGCAAAGAGGCTCCCAGCCTGAAGGCAGTAGAGGATCTGGCAGCCGTCACTCAGATAGGCTTTGTGCTGGCTGTACCCCTGGGGGCACTTCATGGGGTAGGCAGTGTCAGAATCCTGGTAGAAGAAATCCTGGAGGAGCCCAGGGCTCTGTCCCTTCAGGGGCCCAGCCAAGGGGT